CTCTCTACCAAAAACATTCCCAATCATGCTACCTAACTTGGTTGACGAAAAGAAAAGATTTGTGTCGACAAAAGATGTTTGGTGGAATTTTCAACTAGAGACAAACTCCAGGATCAAGTTTGGTGTGATGTCGTTCCTATGGATACATATCATATTCTATTGAACCGACTGTGATAGTACAACAGAGGTACACTTCATGATGACCACAAAATACCTACAGATTTAACAAGGATGGGAGGTGTATTGTACTTTTGTTATTAAAAGAATCAGTAGTGAGCACTTAGATTAAGATTGGAGCAATCGTGCCTCATGCGACCTTTCTAAAAGCTATGAGAGAGACGCCAGTGGGACTGACCTTGATAATGCTAGATGGGACTGACCTTGATAATGCTAGAAGGCAGTGAGATGAACTAACACCTAAGGTAGTGTGACCATTATTAAAAGAGCTTCAAGATGTCTTGACGGACAATATGCCACATGGATTACCACCATTGTGAGAGATTCAACATGCTATCGACCTTTTCCCAGGATCAATGCTTCCAAACCGGCCAACATATCAGATGCGACTAGCAGAGTATGAGAAGCTACAAAAGCAGGTTGACGATCTAATGGCTTGAAGATTAGTTTGTGAGAGCATTAGTCCAAGTGCTATGTCATCTCTGATCATGCCAAGAAAGTATAGATTGTGACGCATGTGCATTGATAAGAGGGTTGTGAACAAGATCACAATCAAGTACATGTTTCCTATTCCTAGGTTGGGCATTATGCTTGATCAATTGCATGGAGCCAGTGTCTTCTCCAAGATTGATTTGCACAATGATTCATCAGATTAAGATAAGACCAAGAAATGAGCGGAAGACGGCATTTTGAGGTACGAGATGGATTACATGAGTGGATGGTCATGCCTTTTGGTAAGTCGAACGCCCCGAGTACTTTCATGCAATTGATGAGCCCAATCTTTTGATCCTTCAATGGATAATTGTGCTTGTGCATCATACTGTAAAATAGTTCAAAGGAAGGACACTTAAAGCATTTACAACAGTATTTAAGGTTCAAACAATTATATGATCATCCAATGAAGTATTGTTCTCTTACACTGCAGACGCATTTTCCAGTATACATTATTTTAGCAGTTGACATTGAAATGGACCTAGCATAGATCAAGGCTATTATAGCCTTGACCCAGACCCCGGTCATTTACTCAAGTGCAACAATTTCATGGTCTGACTTCTTTTTACAGGAACTTTATCAGAAATTCCATCTCGATTGCACAACCTTGTACAAAGCTTCTCAAGTCAAATAAATTTGCGTGGTCACATGATGCTCGAGCTAATTTTAATGTTGAAGAGGCAGGTGACTCAAGCCCCCACTACCGCACTTCCAGATTTCAATCAAGTATTCGAGGTAGAGTATGATGCCTCGAATGTGAGAATTGGAGCTATGTCAAGTCAAGGAGGAAACTCGTTGCTTTCTTCAGTGAAAAGTTGAATGATTACAGGATAAAGTACTCTACATATAAGAAATTATATGTTACTATGAGAGCAATAAGTCACTGAAGTCATTACTTGCTGGCAAAAAAATTATTCTCAACACTGACATAAAACCCTGGAATTTTTTAATAGTCAAAACAAGCTAAAGGGTAGGCACGCCTCATTGGTAAAATTATTTTCTGCATTCCACTGTGGTCAAACATAAAGCATGGATGCATTGGGCCATCACCACCTATTACCCATTACAATATTTGTTTTGAAGTGTTGAAGGACTTGTATGCGACTAATGAGGATTTTTAGGATATTTAGATCAAGTGTCAGGAGATGTCGGATGAGCAGTATCATAGATCTAATGGATATCAATTCTTCTAGAATAGAAAATGCATTTCTCATAATTTCTTCAGAGAAGTGACACAATGAGGGAATTCCTCCAGTGGAACCATTGTTAGTATTATCATCTATATCGATGATATTATGCTCACCGGTGATGATTTAACAACATTGGAGTCTCTGAAAAATATTCTTGTTACTTCATTTGAAATGAAGAACTTAGGATCACTCCGGTACTTCTTAGACATGGAAGTTACTAGTTATCTTGAGGCATTTGTCTGTCTCAACGCAAATATGTGTTTGATCTATTTATAGAGAATAACCTACTCCTATGGAAACCAGTGACAGTTCCAATATATCCCAATGAGAAATTAGTCGATGATCCTAATACTGTTTCGGTACTTCTTGTGGAGAAACTCATTTATGTCGCCCATGCTCGCCTTGACATTTGTCATGTAGTAGGTATTGTAAGTCAATTCATGCGTGATCTCTATGAGCACCATCAAGAGCTGTCCATAGGATCCTGCACTACTTAAGCACACCGGGCTCAGGTCTACCTTTTCGCGTCACACCTTTCGTTCTATTAATGTGTATACAGATGCAGATTAGGCCACTTATATTCATGATCGACAAACAACCTCAGGATATTGCTCATTCGTGTAGAGAAATCTTGTCACTTGGAAAAACAAAAAATAGTTGGTTGTGGCCTGGAGCATGCTGAAGCCTAGTTTCGCTCCATGTCCTTAGGTATCCATGAAGTTCTCTAGTTACACATCATTCTCCATGAATTACGCTTACCGGTCTCTGCTCCTCTCTAGCTGTTTTGTGATAATAAAGCCGTCATTAGCATCACCTGTAATTCGATCTAGCATGATCGCACCAAGCATGTAGAGATTGACCGACACTTCATTAAAAAAAAAGCTTGATTCAGGGGAAATTTATATTCCATTTGTTCTATCAAATGATCAATTAACAGATATCCTCACAAACAAACTTTCTCGGTCGTTATTTGACAACTTCAATTCCAAGTTGAATTTAAGGGACATCTATGTTTCAACTTAAGAGGGAGTACTAAAATTAGTAGCTTAATTAGTGTTGCAATTATTATTTGGCTTTATTTGCTTTCTTTATTTTCAACATTTTCTATATTTATGTATTTGTAAATTTATGTCTTTCCTTTTAATGTGGGACTTGTAATGTGTATTTATACACCTCTTTTTTATCAATGAAAGTATGAACCTCTATTCTCAAAAGTTTAACATTGAATTTTACCTACCCCCATATTTGTGCATCTTCAACTCTCCATAGTACATATGCAAAGTATGTATTTTTTGTTACTAAAATATCTTCAATGGAATATTACTCCCACAATCCCTCTAACAATATCATTCCTTAATCTAACTTTCTTTTTTTTTCTAACTTTTTTTATTTTTTTGTGCATCAATCTTAACATTCTCATTTGTAACTTTCTTTTTTTTTCTAATTTTTTTTATTTTTTTGTGCATCAATCTTAACATTCTCATTTGTCACAACCAACATAGTAATTAGTGGTTTTTTATCAGCCAACACTTGGGTCCAAATAACACATCAATTTTAATTGAAATTTATACAATTTAACTTTGATAGCAGAGAAAGATCAAATAGATTTGATTAGGCTACTCAAATGGTCAAAATTACACTAATGCATGAATCATTATGTGTCTGTGAGTACCATGACCACGCATATAAAAGAACTCAGCAAATACATCTTTGTAGCTTAAGAGCACTCAGTTAGCTACCCAAAGAATAATATTTCACTCATTCATCAACCAATAATTATCAAGTGCAACTGTTTAGATATAATGAGTTATAATGATAATGTCAAACATTTGAAACAACATCAAATCCCTTTCAATCTTATGTTAAAATTCAAATTTCATATTATCCAACAACCAATAATTTAAACACATAAAATAAACAAATATTAGAAATAATAGGAATTAGATCCTTAATAAAAATGGGACTAAGATGGCTTTGAAAAAGGCTCTGATTCAATTTTCTTGGGCTTTAGTTTGATTCTTTCAAATTGACCTATGGCCAATTAGTCTTTAAAAAGAAGACTTAGTCTAAATAGAGGCAAAGTAAGCATAAATGATAATAAATTGTTTTAGTATCGATATTTCCCGAAGTTAATCAAAATAGTAATTTGTTGGTTCATTATGAATTTCAGAACAATTTAAGAAAAGAGATGTATGTATTCCCGAAGCTACTAAACTAGACACGACTACTACCTGATTTATTTTAAGTATTTGGATATTATAAGGCAAAGTAAGCATAAATGATAATAATTTTTTTTGGTTACAAATATCTTAAAGCTTAATTGAGTATAAAAGTCTCGATCCTGAGTATATCTATTTAGCCTCATTCAACTTCTCACTAAAATAGACAACTAGGTAACTTTTCTAACTAAGAACATGTCCTAAACTAACACCAATGGCACCACATGGCATCTCAAACACTCTCCCAAAGTTAGTGCGTTTTAGAATTAGTGATGCAAGCTCAACAACTATATTTTTTCCAAGCTCAAACACTCTCCCACATGGCATCTCAAACACTCTCCCAAAGTATCCACACAAATTGCTCATATACCATGCCAATAAAAATGCTTGATGTTGTAGGGAATAAATATTTTTTTTTCTCACAAGTTCATGTATGAAATACTACAGAAAATGCAAATTATCAAGCAAAACTTATAAACTGATTAATTCAACCAACATGAGGTGATGGTGGGGTAGGGTGGGGTAGGGTGGAGCAGGGTTGGTGATTATGAAAGCTTTCCCAAGAGGCTCAAAATCAAGATCTACATGGTTACAAATAGTTTCCCACATTAATCTCATAAATAAAAAGACAGAGCTTTCCCAAGAGGCTCAAAATCAAGATCTCCATGGTTACAAATAGTTTCCCACATTAATCTCATAAATAAAAAGACAGCCTCAGTTATGCCAAAATGGATTGAAACGGTTAAAAATTCTAATTGTAACCTATCAGAATCACTTCTTTAAAACCAATATATTTCTACTTCTTACTTAAGAATGCATGTAGACTTGCACATTCATGACATTAACAGGAAGGAAAATCACAAAAATCTTCTAGAAATCAAATAAAAAATTGTGAATACATTTTCATCAAAAGTATTCTTACCTTTGGAGCAGCCATTGGATATTCTTCGGGGAGAAAAAGTTCAAGCTTAAAAACTCCTCCTAACAAAAAGTAAAGAACAAGGAAAAGGACATCAGCTTTAAGTTAGAAGATGCATGTGTATGTGTGTGTGCCTGTGTGTGCGTGCACGTGCACGACTGTGTGTGTACTCATCTTTTCTCGGTATAGAACAAGTTAATATTTAACAAGGTAAACACTAGGAACTTCAACCTAATTATATCCATCACTAAACAATCATCACCATTATCATTAGCTTTATCATTCATATTTGAAGTCAGATTTCAAAACTCAATTTACTCTGTTATACCTTCCAGATATTGCTTGGGTTGTTAATTCTAATGCAATTATGCAAATATTTTTATTTTCTTTTGTGGTAAGCCTTGTTATTTTTGCTCTACAATTTTCTATTATATTCATTCCACTAACACAAACAATTTTTAAATAATGAAAAGTACAAAAACCTGCATAGAACTTCAATCTAGGGTTAAATCTAAATAATTTTTGCTCTACTATTACTCTGACCTTCAAACTCTCCTCGGAGAAAGATTTCCCATTACAGAATGATTTTACAATTGAATCTCAACTTGAATATTAACCTAAATCTAGGAATGAATCATAGTCTGCATGAATGACAACGTCTAGATCCCGGTTTAAATTTATTTCTAAATCAAAACAAGTCTCCAAACTTAATACGGAAACTGAATTTTCCCTTGAGCATGATTACTTCATAATTCCTAAAATTGTTAGTTGTTTCTTCTCATTCTCAAACTCTCATAGAAGTGCATGTTAAGCGTTCTCACGTGTAAGATAAATAGCACAATAATGATTTCCCAACTTCGAACCTGAATTTTCTTGTGAACTACCAAACTTCATCCTAAAATTAAATCTAATCCACTCATGCTTGAAAAATTGCTAGTTTACTAGTTCCTTCGCACTCCAATCCACAAGGAATTATCTATTATATTTATAAAATGCAAGATAATTAAAATAATGTATCTATGGCTTTTATATTGACGGCTTTGTCCATAAAAACCTAGGTTGAAGATGCTTTTAACAATAAAGTTGGTTGATCATCTTGTCTAATAACCCTTCACTTTGTTCTCTTGTATTCCATTCTAAAATGCTTACTTATATAAAACAAATGGTCAGGGGAAGTTTTTTGAAAGACAGGCCCTTATCACTAGTTCTCACAATCTTATACTAATAAAATTATTATGCTACATTTCTTTTATTTTGTGGGCTATTATGTATTTGGTAAGTTGTAATGGAAGCAATTATGTTTGCTCTAGCTTTACTTAATGAGAAGAGATGTAATTGGATGATTAAGAAATAAGAGAATACAAATTTCTCCATCTTTCTTCATGGAATCAGAGCAAAAAAAAAAAAACCTAACATTCCTTCCCCCTCCAAAAGCTGCATGTCTCCCAGCAGGCCCTCCGTCGGAGCCTCTCCTTGCAACCAGTATTGGGATCCTCCCTACCAGCAGAGCGTTTATTCCTGCAACCAGATGTTATTCCAACAAGCGTTTATTTCTGCATCAAGATTGTCTGTTGTATCCAGATCATCACCTGCAAACGTTCTTGCAGCCAAGCTTTTCTTTTAGATGCAGACATACCTTTTGGAGCAGAAGTTTCTTCTAAAGCAGCAAACCTATCGCGCCACATGCAACTGACAATCTTTCTACAGCAGAGGATCATCACTTCCTGCAACAGACGTTCCTTCTAGAGCATCAAACCTATCACACCTTCTGTAGTCGAAATTCCTTCTGCAGTAGACGATCGCCACCTCTTGTACCAAAGTCACCTCAAGTAGCAAGCAAAAGAGTAAAAACTCGTTCCATCCAGCCTTCCAAAAATTTCTTCCTGCCTTCCCACCGACAAGCAACCAAAACTACTTCCCAAGCAAACAGAAGAGCCGCAAGAATTTTGTCGACCTTCTAGACATTTCTCACCGGTCAACCTTTCAGAAGTCTCTCATCGTGTGATTCTTCAAGTCATTCGCTGTTTCAACTAGCAGCAGCACGACATCCAAGAATTGTTTCCATCCCTAAACATGCTAAGGTTGATGACTAGGTACAAGATGAAGACAGTTGTTCTAATTTGGAAGTTACTTTTGAATCACAGACCATAATTTCTACCCAAACGGCCCCAAAACTCTCACTTTATCACAAACCATAAATTCATTAGGCGTAAGTTCCTTCAATGGTCACAGTTTGTGTTAACGTTCATTTGCGGTAAAGGAAAAGAGGAACATCTCACCAGAGAGGACACAGTTCTTGAGCTCATTGATCCTAACCATCGTTCATGGAAGATACAGAATCATATGATAATATCTTAGTTGATCAATTCTATGAAAACAAAGATTTGAGAAAATTTCTTGTTTTATAAAACAACACGAGAAATTTAGAAAGTAGCTTGTGAAACTTATTCTAACACCAAACACTATAGAATTGTTTAAGATTGAGACAAATGTATGAGCTCTGACAAGAAGAGTCAAGTGTGACTTAATACATTAACTAACTTTTAATACATTAACTAACTTTTAAAGTACTCGTTACAATTAGATATGTATGAGACTTATGTATGAAAGTGCCCTTAAGATGCTATGTTGTATAAAATAATAGCGGAGAAGAAGAGAATGATCAAGTTTTTATTGAGCCTAAATAATAATTGGGATGAAGTCAGAGGAAGAACTATGGGAATGAAGGCTCTCCCTGCCACTAAGGAAGCCTTTGCTGAAGTTATAAGACAAGAAAGTAGAAAGAAGCTCATGATAGGAGGAAGTGTGGATTCATCTAATATTGAAAGCTCCGCCTTTTACATACTCATCTCATTAGTCAAAGCCAAATAAGAATTGTTCCATGAGTGAACATTGTAAGAAACTTGATCACACAAATAACAAGTGCTATACACTATATAAAAAACCTGCATATTGGAAACTTGGGCAAGGGAGAAAAGACCAAAACTGCAATGCCAATGCTACTAACCCTTCCGAAGGGACAGTTGACCATAGCCTCTTAACCAAGAAACAACTGGTAATATTAAAGGAACTTATTTTAGGCACAACTGAGCGATCTACTAGCTTGATAATACACCAATGTATCATATCATGTATTGCTAACAATGATTGATTTCAACCTTGGATAATAGATTCAAGTGCTTAGGATCAAATGATTAGAGATATTTATGCCCTTACCCACTACCCAGAGCTCGCCAACTCCAAATTTATTAGACTTAATGATGAATCTCTCTCCAGAATAATTAGGAAAGAAGTAAAAGTCTCCACAGATATTCAACTTTCTTCTATCATATATTTTCTCCAATTAGATTGCAACTTACTTTCCATTAACAAGCTTACTCATGACCATGTTACTAAATTTCACTCTTACTCTTATGAATTTCAAGTGGTGAATTCGAGAAATGTGATTGACAGTGTTAAATTGCATCAAGGTTTATACCTACTCAAAGAAAGATAATCTTTTAACACATGTTTTCTTCATCGTCCTCCTCCCATGTTCTGAGACTGTTGTGTCTGAGCCTGTTGAAAGTCAAATTTTGTTATAACATTGTTGACTGAGCCATCTCAATTTCCATTATGTTGCAAAATTCTAACATCTAATTATTAATAAAAAGTCAGAGTTTTATTAGTGTGAAACAACTAATTGGCTAACGATACTCATGTTTATCTTTTATCTCAATACAAACCCTCAAAACTTTTCTCTAGCATCTACAGTGACATTTCGGGACCAGCAAAATGAAAAGAAAACCAATGGAACCATATGGTGTCTTCTTTATTGATGACAACATTACAACTAGTTGGATATTCCTCATGCAGGAAAATTGAAACTGCACAAATTTTTCAATATTTTCATAACATGATTTTCAATTAATTCCAATGCAAACTTCAAATTCTCAAAACTTAAAAGGAGAATAAATACTTCAACTCTAACATTGAATCCTAGCTTGCAAAGAATGATATCAACCATAGATAATACCTTTTTTTAAAACCAATCCTACCACCCCAAATCTGATATTCAGAGGGAGTTTAGGTCAATATCAGACTTGGGATACTACTCTAAAGTCATTACAAGTTATCCCACTTCTCTACGCTACTCTGCATACCCACATTGATCAAGAGTCAACAATTTACTTTACTTTCCTTTATCCATCTTGTCTCCTAAGTTTCGCCAATTGAGAACATCCAACCTGAGAGTGACAACAAGGAACTTCATGTGTATACTAGGAGAAAGAAATCCACTAAGTAGGACAAAACCAATATGCAAACACATGAATGCTTACAAACAAACCTGAATCTACACATCCCTAAAGTTTCAGAGGAGGAGGAATCCGGTGGAGAAGATAGAGAAAGGTGCACAAAGTATCATATCCAATATTATGTTGTATATGGGAAGTTATCTCAACTTATAAAGCTTTTGTATCTAATATGGATATTGTGTTGATATACAACTCTATTCATAAAGCACTTCAAAGTTCATAATAGAAAAATGCAGTTGAAATGAAGATCCAAGCTCTTGACCTAACTGGCACGTAGACCTTTACAAAACTTCCTCCAAATAAAAAGCATGTTGGGAGCAAATACATGCTTAATGTCAAGTACAAAGCACATGAGAGAATTAAGAGATTCAAGGCTAAGTTGGTGGCCAAAGGTTTCACTCAATCTTATAGGATAGACTATCGAGAGACAATTGCTCAAATGGTTAAGTTAAACACTGTAAGAGTTCTTCTTTCTTTGGCAGTGAACAAATAATGAGAACTACATCAACTTACTATCAATAATGCAGTTTTGAACGGAGACCTTAAGAAGTTTATACGGCAATCCCGCCAGGACTAAAAAAAGACTCAAATAAACATCTAATTTGTAAACTAAAAAAAGTCATTTTATGGCCTCAAACAATCTCCAAGGGTTTGGTTTGACAAGTTTGTCAAAGCTATGAAATCTAATGGGTACATCCAATGCCAAGCAGAATAATGTTATTCATAAAGCATACACGGATAAAAGAAGGCTGTGGTTATTTTACATTATTTTTTTATTTTTTTATTTTTTAAGTATATAGGAAGGATACACTTATAATATATATAGATAATATGATCCTGACAGGTGATGATGAAAAAAAGATTGGGAAGATTAAGAAAATCCTTGAAATTGAGTTTGAAATTAAGGATTTATGAGTGACGAGATACTTTATGGGCATGGAAGTGGTCAGGTCCTATATGAGTATTGTTATATACCAACAAAATTATATTCTAGACCTACTAAAAGAGAAAGTAATTTTGTGGTGCAAACCTACTAAGAATTCTATTAATTTAACAAAAAAAGTTGCATTCAGGGGGAGAAAAGAAACTAGTGGAAAAGGGTGGATATTATCAAGCTATCACACACTCGACTTGATATTACTTATTCTGTTGGCATTGTAAGTCAACATATGAATAGTTTGAATGAAGAACATTTAGAAATGGTTTGCAGAATATTGAGATTTTCTAAGAAGACCCCTAACAAAGGGTTACTATTTAAGAAATTTGATAACAAGGAGTTAGAGGTTTATATTGAAAATAGTTGTCGCGAGAACTCACAAACAGAAGGTCCACATCTAAGTATTGTTCATATGTCTGGGAAAATCTTGTCACTTCGAGAAGCAAGAAGCAAGTTGTGATCTCTAAAAGTAGTGTAGAATCTGAGTACCGGGTACTCGTTTTGGGAATTTATGATGGAATGTGGATTCAAAAATTACTTTATTAGTTGGGATAAAGATGTTATGTGACATCCAAGCTCTCATTAGTATTGTACAAACTCTAGTGCATCATGTCAGAACCAAGTACATTGAGATTAATAAACAGTTTATCTCTGAGAAGATTAATGGAGACATTATTCACTTAAACTACATTCTAACTCATCTTCAAGTAATTGATATCTTCACTAAATCTTTAATTTCAGGCAGCTTCACTAATTTGAATACCAAACTAGGTCTTTACATCATCTATGGCATATCTTAAGGGAAGTGTGGAATTCTAAGTTTTCTATTTTAGATTTATTCTCTTTTATTCATGTTGCATTTCTTTATTTTTGTTAGTTATTGTGTATTTAGTAAGTTGTAATGATAGGAATTAAGTTTTCCCTAGCCTTATTACATAAGGAGAAGAGATGTAATTTCATGATTAAGAAATAAGAGTACAAGTTTTCCATATTTCTTCACCGTGTATAAAGAAAAATTTATAACTATAGCGTATGTCCATTCTAAAGTCTAAGGTAATAGTGGGAAAAATTATATTTTAATAGATATTTATCATGTATGCATTTTGCATTCTACCTGTAACAGAATATCTAAAGCAACATCAAACCTCATCACATAAGAATAAAAAATTTATCTAATAATTTTGTACTTAATTTGTCAATAATGTTAATCTAGTTTTCTATGTTGAGATATCTTATCATATATAGTACTTTCAAGGTTCCAAAGTTTCCTTCTTGCATCTGTGCAAGTCAAGTTCAGTATTCCCACTAGCAAAGCCCCCTCTATTTTCCAGAGTCGCAACTTCAGTTCCAATTTCATCTACCATCATAAAATTCTTGGATGGCCAATGAAAAGCTATAACCCATCTCTCACAATCTTTCACATGGAACCTTTATCATAACTCCCTGAAGGAGAGAGTTCTGCATACCCCGTGGGAGTTGATAATGCCATCCAATCACGACTTCAAATAAACATCAACGCCACAAGATTGATTAATCATTTTCTACCTTTATTAGTGGTAGGAAATATTAGACTCTTCTTTAATATATTTGAAATTATCAATTTTATAAGTTTAAGAGTTCATTTATTTAAGTTCAGGAGCAATTTCAAACATACCACTCAAAATCTGGTTTATTTACAAAACTAACACCCACATTCCTACATTCATCAAATTCACAAATAAACACACAATATTTTCAGTTCCATCAAATTTCCAATGGATTTGCAACTTGCAAAAATACATAGGTTTTATAGTTTATCTTTTATACAGGTTTTAGATTTGCAAATATGCATGATCTAAATGGCCTGCATATAATTTTCCCTTAAGCTTATTTATAGATATTACTCTCACGGTCTTTTTTTATATAAATACAATCCTATCTTTTAAATGATGGATTACTATAATTGATAATTAGATGAATTTTCATCTCAACAATAGTTGCTGATTGTCTCTTTCTACTCCATAAATTATGGTTTCTTCTTTTTCTTAGCTCTCTCTTTAAGATGCCTCTACACTTCTATTCCCTTGAGTCTCTCTGTTTTAACACCCAGTCACATCTTTTTATTTAATTAAATTGTGCAGCTCTATGCCACCTTCAGTGGTAATTTTATCTACATGTCTAATGGATGCATCTTTAAACCTTCACTGTAGAAATGCAAACTAACTAAGTCTAATTTTATTTTTCAACTATCTTATATTCAGCAAATACTATTCCGACTATTTCATTAATATAAACAATGTATCTTATCCTTCATAATTTTGCCACACATCTATATTAACATTTATTTAGTATCATGTTACACTTGCTAACAATGTCATTTTTACCATCAAAACTGGTATCCATAAGAAAATCCATCCAAAATGCAATTTATAAAATAGACCTTTAGGTCTCCATGATATAGTTGCATTGTAAAATACTCTCAAGACAATTCTCCGTTTTAGACATCCCCCATTATATTCCCATCGATCTATTTTGATAGCCTTCCATATAATAATTTCATAATACTTATACCCATCATAGCATATATCACTTATCTTCTAATATTATTGAGTAATAATCATTAGTATCACATCCACTAAAATTACAAATCCTATAATTAATATTTATTTTTCTACTCTCAGGATTAATATATTGTAAGTATATATTCTTTTTTTTTACTACTTTTCACTTATTCCAATAGTTGTATCTCAATTAAAATGATATCACCTATAAAAACATTCACCAAGGAACGTCACCTTGGAAATCCTTCATTAGTATCTTCACAACAAATAAAAAATGATGCAGGATCAAAATAATCTTTGATGCAATCTTACTATAACCAATAACTATTGGGACACTCAACAACTATTTAAAAAACTAATAAGTGCCATATCATATATATTGAAAGCTTCAACATGCCTAGAAATAAAAGTTTTCCACAATGTGTACCAAATCAACCACGTGATACTTGACCATATTTTTTTACAAATAATAACCATACAAAAATCCTTTATTTGCTCTATATATTAATCTATTAATTGTCCAATTAAAAAAATGAACTTCCATAATGAATTTTCTTAACATAACTAAACTAGTTAGCCAAAAATAATGTATTTTTTATAATTTTATGTTCCATTAGTCTCTCTCTCTCTCTCTCTCTCTCTCTTTATCATGCTTACATTTCATGACTCATAAGTTTGATTCAGCCATGATTAACATATCCTTTAAAATATCCTTTATTCTAAAATTTTGGTAACAAAATGCTTCTTATTAAATTAATTGGTATCCTCTTAGACATCATAATTATATTAAATTATTTTTGTTAACCAAACCAGTATGGAATTCCTTATAAATCTTTGGATACATTGTTTGAACCTAAAACCTTCTACTATAAATATTCTATAGAGAAAACTCTACTTCATGTTTTTGGGATCAATCCATCACGTACCGCTTTATTTTACTGAACATTTTTTCCAGAAATAATTGCTTCATTAAAATTATCATTTAATAATATCTCAAAATAACAATTTAATATTTCCCTAATTTCCTCGCCTTTAACCAAGATCTTAATATCTTTGCTTTTAAGTAACTAACTTGATAAAAATAATATATATCATCTCTCACCCTGGATGTTTAATATATCTCATTTTCTTCTTCTTCATTACCAAACATATGACATAATTATTAAAAATTGTAAATTTAGTTTTACTCGCAACCTTTTTTGTAGGGCTTTTAGGTTGTTTATATTCATTATTAACCTCAATAGTATTTGCATTCAGCAACACTTAAAAAATACACAATCTGTTCCTTTAAAATCTTTCATGCCTCTACACTCTAACAGCAAATGTCCTTGCTAACTAACAATATGTTTCTAGAATATCCCAAAACTTCCACAATTTAAGATTTTATCTGACTTTTTAATGGAACCAGATTTTTTATAAAACAAAAGGTTTGGTTAACTACAAAAATTCAATGTACTTAGCATTCATGAATATATATCCTGATAGGCAATGACAGAAGAAATATTTGATTTGATATTTTTATAATTCCACGATTTTCCCTTATACATAATTTTTTATTGAAATATCTTATTCTATGATGAAATCAAGTATACATTATCCCACTGCCATTTTAAGTCCTATTTTATCCCTGCCATGAATCCTTTCATAGCTAATTCCCGCAATGATCATAGCCTAACCTAAAAGTACATAAATATCCATTCATTCAAGTTGCCTTCAATAAAAATTATTTCTTCTTAAGGCGTACATTGTAAAACATAAATAATTCAACTTAACCACTCAACGATAAAAACAATTACGAGGGCAAGAGGATATGATGAATGAGTCATAAACAAGATATTTAACATTATTTCGTATAAAAACAATTAACTGTTCAAAAGCAAAGTTAGCTCTGCAGGAAAAAAGGACTCCAATTCAATCAGAAAAGGAAACGCTGAAACAGATATAGTTCACTTAAGAGCCAAAAAGATTTTAATGAATCTTGGATGATTAATTGCCCGAGTTTACGCTAATAAAGCATATTAGAGAAACCAGAAACAAGTTCGACTAGCATTCCATTACAAAATAAACATACAAGTAATCAATAAAACTGAACCAGTAAGCTACCTTCATATGGAGATTGTGACGGACCAAGGATCATAACATTGAAGTAGCGCATGTTATCCTCCGAGGGCGACGCACTGATCCCTGGAGCTGCAGCATATTGGAAAACCAAAAAACAGAAAAAAGAGGAGAAAAACCATATCTATTAAAATCCATCAACAGCCCTAATAAAGGACTTCAATACCGCCAAAACTACATAAAGCAAGAGGGAAGACAAATAAAAAATAAAAAGGGAAGACAAGTTACCTGGCTCACTAAGGAGACGCTGCGTTTCCTATCAAAATACAAGATCGATGAACCAGGAAACGTCATAATCCGGAAAAAAAGGTGGAAGCAACAAAAGAAACAAAACTAAGTCATAGCAATAGGCAGACGCAGAGTTGCCGGTGTTATGCGCTCAATTACCGGAAGATTTTGTTAGATCGGAAAATATTTTATTACCTTGATGATCCGGCGGGGCAAATTGCTGTTTGCCATCCTTGTTCCTCTGCAAGTGAAGGGTTGAGAGAGAGGGAGAGAGGGGGCAGGAAGGACTCCGGAAGCTTATACGTCGAATAAAACTGCAGATGAATGCAGGCTGACACATTTATTAAAAACAAAAAGAAAAATTGTACATTTACATACATACCAATCAAATTTATATATTTACATATCTAACACCTAAACTTTGCTTGCTACATTTGTATCACTTAAATCTCTCTTATCACGTCAAAAATAACAGTACCTTAACTTTTTTAACAGTGAAATATAATTTTTCATATATAGGTAAGATGGCATATGTGCGGAAATTAATTGGGTGTTAAATATAGAAATACATAAAAATTAAGTGATATATGTAAGCATTCCAAGAATTTGCCTTCAGGAACATTTTGGGATGTGTTCGGCTCACTAAAATTTAATAAAATTATGGCTCATTAGTTTTTTAATTTAATTTTTAAAGTAAGTGATTATACCTTCTAATGATCATTTGATTTATCAAAAAAAGAATCCTAAACAATCTAGACATAATATAATAAAAAATAATACAAAATTCAAATCTCACCGAGTCCATTAAACATCACTTATCCTAACATATGTAGAAGTTATATATCTATTTACAGCTTGATGGGTATGTTAGGATAGGATCTGAATCATTTAATTTAAAATCACAAAAAACCACCAATCAAAAATAAAACCAAAACAAGATTTAGAGAACATTTCGAGGAGTTTGGCATTATAATAATAATTCAACTATAGAAAAATGTCATAAAAGCTAATTTTCATTTTTGGAAGTGGCCTCAACTTTGCCATTGACCATTCCAACCTTATAGATGACAACATGATTAAATTAGACATGGGCTTTAATAACAGGAGCATGATGCCCGATGGTACTATTTTCACTACCATAAAGTTGCAATTTGCAAGAAGATGATTCTAGAATTTAACTTAATTAGGATGCAACATTTGCTTCCTAACTTTAAATAAGAAAATTTTAATGAATGTCCCCCTTTTGGCTCCAATCTCTAGGTCCCTTATGCTTTCCAGGATCTTTCATACATAAGAAAAGAAATTGAATAAGTTTATAGTCTAAAGTCTATTTGATTTATTTGTACCCTTACTATTAAAATTGATTCAACTTTTATTATTACTGCTATCACTAAGACCTAAAATTGTAATAAGAATCATAGAATCAAAAAGAGGCACTAAATAAGAGGAGAGAGAATTAAATTGAGAGATATGGAAGCTACTCAGATTGTTCATGAATAAATAATTCGTGTGATTTCTTAACTATTTAATGATAGCATGTTTTATCCTATCTCTATAGATCAGAGAAAGACGGATGCTTGCAAGATTACCTTCTCATCATCATGAACCTTTGACTATTGTCAACAATAAGACGCTCAAGGGAAAAAACATTTTCTTAGAGTTTTTCTTACTAAAGAATGGTTGATGTGGTCAGTTTGTCTAAAGTAGAAATCTTTAGAAGAACTGAAGTAATGATATTAAAATGTTGAAAGAAAATTTTAAAAAATAATTAATCAAATGTTTGGGTACTAAACCTGTTGTCCCGCAAATCTAAAAAGAGATTTATTTGTAACCAACACCACTAGCTTTGGCAGATTAGTATACCCAAGTTAATACACTGGTTGGAAAAATTATAAGTAAGCCCCAAAAAAAAATCAAATAGGGAGAATAAGATGTTAAATAAGTAAATAAACTCTAGGATAATCTCATGGTAGAGGCACTGGTTGTGTTTGATGCAAAGGAAAATGATTTAATTGTTCATGAGATACTACCTTTTGAGACTAGATGATCATGGTGAAGGGATTATTAATAAATTGATGGTACTTAGAATTTTTTCCTTAGGAAGATGATGCGTCAAACTTAGCACAATGGTTGTAATACTAGCTTAGGCAAATAGTTGAGTTAATATTTAATATAGAGAAAAGTAAAAAAGGGATCATTTCCAATCTAGCTAGAGTTAGATTTTAGTGGCACAACAATATGAAGATTTGGCATTATCATTCTTAGAGAAGTAGCTTATAGTAAAGTATAGGATGTAATAGATCTAAAAGGGCATGAAAGAAAAACATGGGTTAATTTAAATATTTGTTAAGGCGAAATAACTTATTAAAATTTAATTAGAGAAACTCTTACAATATCAACAATAATATAAAATAACAACATCAACCAAAGCTAATTATCAAAATAGAATTTTAAACCACTTTAAATGAAAGAATGAAATAGACTTATTTTTTTAGGATAGAGATAATTTAAAAAATAAAGAGGAATTTGACGAAGAAGGTTTATTTTTAGCTAACAAGGCTTACAAAAATTTAAATGAAATGAATAGTAGTGGTGAACCTAATTTGTGCCCATACCATCACATTCTTCAAAATATGATAGATGAATGCTTCACCTAGAAGGTTTAGCTCAAAAAGAAAATCATAAAGGTAGAGTAATGGTGATTATTAAGAATTATATAGTGGATTCTAGCAAAGATTAATGAATAATATCGCTAGTGAACTCTTTGTTTCGTTAAATATTATCAATTTTAAGAGGGTATGTATATTTATTTATCTAGTACCTCTAAACAATATTTAAGAATATTAAATAGCTTTCCCTTAGTTGCATAATAATGCTTGGAGACCCATCATCTAGGTTATCTACTACTTTATAAAGAAAATAAGAGAAAGAAACCAACCATTAAGCAAGTGGAAGCCAAAGTCCAAAAAGTTCATTGCTAAGAGAAAAAAAATGCAAAAAATAATAATATAGCACTACAAATGATGGTTTAATCCCAACTTATACTTACTTCATATAAATTTTATTTTATTATCTTAGGAATGAATGCCATATTATGTGTATGTCTAATTTATTTATAATATGAATATCATAGATAACTTTAATAACAATAATAATGATAAGAGCAAAAATAATTCTAAAAAAAATTAGATATTTTTAATGAAATTAACAAAGATATCAAATTATTTTCTAATATTGGTGCCACTATCTTTAATGTTTAGGGTATACCTATTATAATTAAGGTCAACCTGTTAGATTCTAAGAGTTTAATAGAAGAGACCTGATACGTTTAAAATATGATGTAGTATTAAATTGTGTTTAATACAAGTTTGTGTTATTTTTATACTTTTTGTGGGTATATGTTGTGTATTTGTGTAATATATAAATATGAAAGAATTATTTAGTAGAAAATAGGATTAGCATGGACTAGCGGCCCAACGCCTACAATAAGCACCTCAATGCCTAAAGCAGCTCATTTTTTGTCTAAAAAACAAAGAGCGGAATACCAAAACGCTAGGGTCCAAGCACCATAATGTTAAACACTACTATCGTTGCACCACTTAAACCAGTGTCATCGTGCTTAACAATTGAGATTAACAAATCAGATCCGTGAAATGTGGCGCCCAAAACCAACATCGTCATGCTTATTGTCAGCGCACCAACGCCTCCTGACTAACACCCCATTTCTTTCCATTGATTTAGAGAATTTTTCACAATTTGTTGATGATTTGGGAAAAAAAGGCTTAACAACTTTATAGAGTCGTTGGGGGAAATGAAAGCACTTGTTTGTATAAAGTCCCTGATATTGTAAAATAGGCTTGGACATTGGAGGAACATTAAGGAAGACTTGGAAGCAACTATGTGTATGCTTTAGTGTATGAATGTCCATTTGTATGAGTGTGAATCAAGAAATAATTTTGTAATGAAGGGAGAATCATCTTAGAGTGAAAGGAGATTCAAACCAGGTGTGATATTTTCTTTATCATTTGTAAGGCTTCGATTTTCTTTCAACGAATCTCATGTATTTTCTATTCAAATGTTTTGGAACTACATTTTTCACTTTATTGGAATGGTATTATGAAATGTTTATTTATCTCATGTAAATTTTCTAAAACTATTATTTGATATTTTGATGTGTTACCCTTTAGGACTTCATTTACTTTGTTGATAGCCACTAGAAAAGTTAAAACGGATTGTGATTTCGGAGAAATGACAGTAGAGATGAAGAAAAATTTGGTTAATATTACCATTAGATGATTGCAACCATATAGAAGAATATGAATCCTGATAGCCTTTTAGAGTTAAGGGTACATACTTTAGTAAATTAGGACTACTTGTAATAATTTTTGAAAATTTAAATCACTTTGAACTAAACTTAAAGTTAGTAAACTAGTAGTTCAATAATTTGAATATTAACTCATTCCTCGTGGGATTGATACATAGACTTAAAATTCATTTTACTAAATAATCAACATGTATAATTACATGATAAAAAGTGCTTCACCACACTGCAAATCAAGCTCTTGGTATCGTTGCTAGGAAACAACATTAATATTTAATTTAAGTTAATAATAATTGAGGATTTGAAATTTAGGTTTAAAAATCATGTCATTTATTATTTTTATTTTATTTATATTATGCAACCACTTATGACAGTGTTAGAGAAGGAATAACATTTGTTAAAGTGATGGGGCAGGGAATCTATTTTTGAACCTATGATAAGTATATTTAGCATGATATTCCTTCTGATCCTTGAATCATTGCTCAATGCTATACTTTAATTGAAGAACATAGATGTCCTATTGTCAATTGAATTATCAATTTGGCTTAATCTCAAAATATTGTCGAATGGGATGAGTTAGCTTACGACAAGGAACCTAGAGGTCTCCCAGAATGGGCTTGCTAAATGCTAGACAACATAAATATAGAAATATCATTATGAGAAGTTTATATATATATATATATATGGCAATCCCTAAGGAATGAAATATTCAACTTACACCACTTTGGGATTTTACCAACCCTACAATAGATGAAATTCATCTTGATATTAATAATCCTAGCATTGAAGCCAACACTTTTCAACACCTTTATTTTGATTTTTATTTTATTTATATTATAAAAGTTGTTATGAATTATGTTTCACTTGTGTAGATTTGTTGTAATTTTTTCTTTAAAAATTAAAAAAAAAACAAGTATGTTATACACTTTTTATGTATATTGTGATATTTTGTGTTATCTGTTGTGATATATATTATTAATGGTTAGTTTAAGGTTACTA